CTTCTTCCCTGGACAGCCACACACACACACACACACACACACACACACACACACACACACACACACACACACACACACACACACACACAGATATAAGCATAAACGCAGGCACACGGACACAAAAATAGACACATGCATACAGACAGCTCAGTCCGCATTTTCTGGTGCCACACGAAACACACACTGTGTTGTGCTTTCTGGGCCACCAAGGAGAGAGAGAGAGAGAGAGAGAGAGAGAGAGAGAGAGAGGGGGGAGAAGACAGAAAGAGAGAGCTGCTGGCTTGCTGAGTGTGAGTCATGGACAGGCTGACTGTCCTCAGGCCTCAGTACACCATCTGCCCCCCCGCTACCTCTACGGCCTTATCACACAGCTCAATGCTCCACAGCGTTGGACACACAAATATGCAAACATGCTGAGACAAAGCAGAGCCATGCATTCAAATGTGGTCGGGGGGGGGATAACAAAAAAATGCCCCAAAACTGACGTATATCCAAACGGATCTCACTCACACGTGGACCATGCACGACTTTTACACACATATGCATGCACATGAATCCAAATTTACATCCTTAATGTGCAATAACGTATATCCGAATAACCCAAGCAGCTCGATTTTACTTACAGCTTGTGCACACTCTTAAAAACATAAAAGTCTGGCTGTAGCCCTGCAGGTCATCTGGGACTGACCAGCATTCTATTCATTATGGAAACCCGACACTGTAGCCCACAGGAGAAGAGAGAATGTTGCGCCGCAAATGTGCCCGCGCTACATCCGTCTGGCTGTGCATATTTGTGAGCGTATGAATGAGCGTTTTTTCTCATAACCCGGGAATCAATGGAGGGAGATCCTTTTCATTAGAGCGGCGGTAAAAGCCGCGGCGGCATTGACCCCTTCTCTCTATTTTGAGCCGAGCCACGAGCACCTGCTACTCAGCTTTCAAGCACCACAAGATGAAACCTCAGTGAAGAAGTTTTCTTTTTTTTTATTCAATGAGGTTATTAATGTTACACATCACCACAGATAGAAAACATTAGTCCATAAAAAAAGAGGACTGTGGAATAATAATAGTATTAATAATATTAGATAATGTCATTTTTTACAGTCAAAATGGGGGCAAAATAGTACGATAATCACCAGCGTGTCTGCCTGACGGTGCAGACTCCAAGCACAGAAGTTGTTTTTTTTGTTTTTTTTTAATAAAAAACACTCGTACACACATGCAGCACAAACTGACGAGCAACTTTATCTACCAGCTCCTCGTGTGAGGAGCGCCACTACAAAATACAACTTGTTCCACAGCCTCTTCCTAGCACGACTTTACAAAAAAAACAAAAAAATCTGTTCATGTGTCCCTCGTGATGCTGCGGCGCATATGGTGGAACTTCATCCGTGTGTTGGAGTCTGTATTTTTAATCAACATATGATTGAAATTATGGCTGAAAATAAAGCACTTGTCCTTGGAGAAAAAAACGTCTTCTGACAGAAAAGTGAGAGGTACCGGATGACAGCTTTGTACAACAGAGTATTAATACACACAAGAGGCAGAGGGTGAGCAGGAAGATGACACACTGTCCCTACTTTGTGTACGATTTAGGGGTAATAGGATTATTTTTTTTGGGATATTTTCAACCAATCGACAGCATGATTGTTGCTGAGAAATGTTGTTAAAATTGAAATTCTCGATTTTTGCTTGAAAATTGTTTTAAAATCATGTTTGTTGCTTCACAGATAGCATTCTTGTATAATCACTGTGCTAAATGTTTGATATTTATTTAATTTCGTGCTCATTCTTGGAGCTGGAAATTTATGGCAACTATGGCAGTCGAGCCATAGAACTTGAACTTTGCCGGTTAAAAGCTCTCGAGTAGACACTGAGTTGGGACTTTTAAAATTCTGCTGCCTCGACGTGGTATTCGTTGGTTGCCGACACTAATTTTACTAACAAACTGTGTCAGAATAACAAAAGTCTGACTTAAAAAGGGTTGATCAGTGACTGACTGGTAACCTGTCACGCCCCTGCAACACATAAGCGGATATAGATAATCAATGGGACGGATGGAGTCTGGAATTGTACAAATTACTAAGCTGTGAATAAATAGATTTCCTGCAGAGGTCTTTCTGATCATTCAGAAAGCTAGATTAAAAAAAACATGGATGCACACCACTGAGAGATTTTTTACAACCTGACAATTAAAAGTTGCTCTTCATGTTTCATCTATGAAGCCGCGTCCAACCAGCACCTGCTTTAGCCACCGTTTCTGGGCCGCTTTCCATCTACGTTCTCGTCGCCATCGCGGTTTGCCAGACAGACCGACAAAAAATGCGAAGGGTGTGCTAGCACGGTTTGATAAACAAGCGTTAATCTCCTTAGCGCGGCTTCAACCTCCGTTCCGCGGCAGGTTTTGCACGCGGCGAACACAAGGCCGTCCGCCTGGCTCGCTGCGCCGCGAAGGCCCAGCAAGCCCTCTTCATTTTCGAAACAATTCTCTTTCCGTTCCACCGCCTCTCATGTTTACAACGGTAATCCATTCAGTGACGTCTGTATAGGGGTGCCCAACTGTGCATGATCCTCCTCCTTCTTCTCGCTCCCCATCCAGAAGCAACACTTCCTAAGCCGCCTCTCTCTGGTGGGTACCGACACGTCTGCTTGGCGTCAAACACAAAACTCCCCATTTGGTGTGTTGACTGAGGGGGTATTTAGAGGGGTAAAAAAAAAAAAGCTCTCATCCTTCTGTGAGTTGCGGCTAACGCTCTTGAACCTGTGGTCGGACTCGACCTCGCCGCATCCTTCCCCGTTATCCGCAGCTGTTGGGTGCTTTGAAACAAGAGGCTTCACAAATTCTCTGTTGTGTAACGGCTGGCAACCTCAAACAGCTGCGCGGAGTTTAAGAAGAGCTAGTATCGCCTGTAGTTGTTTTGTTTTCTCCGTCTTATCCCCCTCTGTCAAGGGAAACTTGATTTAGCAAATCCCAGGCCGTTCATTGTGATATCTCTCTTTCAGCTGCAGCCTCCTTCTTCCCTCTTTGAATTCGTCTTACAGAAAACACAGAGGATGTGCGAAACCAGAGGTGAAGTAGGGTTTTTTTAAATTCTTCACCCTGCTTCTCTTTGACTCCTCTTTCTTCTCTTGTCTTGTTCTTTTTCCAGTCAGGGCTGTTGAGCTGGCGCTGTGGGCAGTATGTATGAGCCGGGAAAAACAGCTCCCCCGCTGAGTTCCTAAGCTGCCAGACATTCCCGTAGTCGCTGCTGGATTCAGTGTCTCTAAAACCTTTTTCAAATGTCATAAATCTCTATTCACCTGTCACAACCTACTTTGTTTCACTGTCTTTTTTCAGGAGAGTCTTCCTAAGTACAAGCTCTGATATTACAAAGATGTCCGTCGCCGTCCCCCCTTCACTATAACATCCTCTCGTTCTGCATGGCCTTGTAGTAGTGCTCCTGCTCGGCGTGGCTGCGGGCGGACACGGACGGCCGGCGAGGGAGGGTGCCGGAGCGGGACAAGGCCTGGCTGTGGCTATCTATCAATAAATCAGGATGGGGGGGAGGAGGAAGCATGCTGGAGCAAGACGGGTGAGGAGGGGGAGGCATGGAGGAAGAGGGATGAGGCGGTGGAGGCAGAGGGGACGAGGAGGGATGCGGAGGTAGGTGCATTTGCGAGGATGGGTGAGGCGGCGGCGGCATTTGGGAGGGAGACGGGTGGGGAGGCAGGGGCATGTGAGAGGACGACGGGAGGGGCGGCGGAGACATCTGAGAGGACGGGTGAGGAGGCAGGGGCATGTGAGAGGAGGCGGGGTGGAGGGGCGGCGGAGGCATCGGAGAGGAGCTCGGGTGCGGTGGGGGAGGCAGGGGGGACGTGGACGACTGAGGGGGAGGCGGCGGCGGGAGAGGGGACGACGAGAGCTGAGGTGGCGGAGGGAGGGGGGAGGAGGAGGTGGGGAGGGGCGGGGGAGGCAGCTCGGCCCCTCCCTCCGCGCTGCCGCTGGCCGAGGAGGAGCAGAGCGAGTCCGTTTTCACCGGCAGCGTCCGGTAGTCCCGGTAGTGGCTGACATTGTCCTGCCGCTGCAGCGCCGCTCGGTGCTTGTCGCCCGCCGGGTCGGCCGTCATCATGTTGCCGCTGATGGTGTTCCTCCACTCCCACGGCTTGCCGTTGCTGGCCGAGACGCGCACCACCGGGTGGTGGGGGGCGTGAGCGTCGATGGTGACGATGCTGCCGCTGCCAGCGATGCTGCCCGGGTTGCTCCCGGTGCAGCTGTCTCGATCAGATGGGATCCGATAATATGGTGATTCAGAGCAGTTGGAGCCGCCACCGGAGGAGGAGCCGCCCTCCGAGGTCTTGGTGGATAAAGTGACCATTCCGTGACCTTGCTGCTTGGACATGGCGATGACCTGCAGGACAGAAGAACATCTCATCAGAACTGCACACATAAAAGCAGTTAAAACTCAAATCGTGTTTGGCAGCAAGCATCCAGAGTTTAGAGTTTTATTACAGTAAATACTGTAAAGGCGAACTGTAACATATTAAACATCCCTCTGAGACTTCTCAGTAAGATTTAACTCCAACTGTAATCAGCGTTTGAACCCTTATGAGAGCACTTTATATCGGAAACTAATCAGTGAAATTGCTTCCTCCAGTGTTGTTCTGTCTGGATTTTACCAACATAATAAATCATAAATGTGTTGTACACAACGTTTGGTGGCTTTTAAATCTCCTCTACTGTCTGAACTATATTTTTCAGAGCTGGCTGCGTGCCACGGCTCAAGATAATGCACTCAGGATCATTTGTGAACATTCACTTTCTAATTTCCACCTCACCTGCGTGACTCTCTGCTGGCTGGGAGGCTGGTTGGGCTGGGTGTTGGGCACCCGGGGAGTCGACACAGCGATGGGCCCCGTTCCAGGCTCCTTCACTCCTCCCTCTGTGAGCGACAGCCACTTGGCGCGAGTCTTGGCGCTCTTCGGGGAGACGGGCGGCGGCCGAGAGGCCTCCTCGGGGATGTGGACGAGCGGCGGCGCCACCACCATCCTGGATCCGGTCGGCGTGGCCGTGCTGTTGTTGGCCTGCACCGTCGGGTAAAGAGACGACGGCATTTCGTCTCCCCCTTCGCCTCCTCCGTCCCTCCCGTCCACTCCCTCCTCCTCGTCCCGTGAGCTCTGGCTGCGGAGCTCCACCGAGCGCTGCTTCCACTCGGACACAAGCTGCCGTGACCTCTGTGGGTCAAAGGGAACGTGGAAGGTCATGTGACGCTGCGTGGCGACCGGCTCCTCGGAGGGGGAGATGGGGCTGTTGCCGTTTGCAACCCGGGGCAAAGTGTTGCTGAAGGTTACCATGGTTTCCTTGCCCATGGGACCGCGGGTCGCCAGGAGCTCCACATCGGCGCTTGCTCGTTTGAGGGAGGCCAGGGACGCCTTCTCCCTCCTCACTTTGCTCCGAGCTCCTGACCCCAACCCGGCCCCGAGCTCCTCCCTGCTCTCGGACACCCGCGGCGTCTTCCTGTACAGCGAGTCGTGGCCTCGCTGGGTCAACACCCTCAGACCGTCCTTCTGCTGGGACGACGCCAGTCTCTGCAAGGTGGGAGCATCTTCTTCTGATGCTTTGAAGTTTCCAACCGCGTACACAGCCTAACAGAGGACACAGGGAGGGAGGTAAGGCGGAGAAATAAATGAGTAGATGGAAGTACTTTGAATGTTAAATAAAGAGCAGAGCGTGGAAATGTATTTTCTTTAATCTTTGGGAGGGAAAAAAAAAAATTTAGATTTTCCTATTAGTGCAGAGAGAGTGCATGAATAGTCGTCTATTTTTTTTATTCCCTCCCCTTCTGTTTCGTCTGAGGTCAGCATGAATCACTCTCTTCCTCTCCTCATCCTTTAATGACAGGAGGAGATGCTCCCCCTCTTAAAAAGTGAAAGACGAGAGAAAGCGAGGGAAGAGGGAAGAGGGGAAGCGTGGAGAATGGCAACGACAAGTTTTCTTAAAATGAAGTGTGAAATTGTTCCAGAGAATTCTTATCGGATTATTCATTCTCTCTCTCCCTTTCCTCCGTAATAGAAAAAGCTATATATAGCCTGCCAAAAAAAAAAAAAAGAAACTGCTGGGAGAGAGAAGTATGGAAGCCACTCAATGGGGGGGAGAGGTGATGAAAAAAATAAGCATTTGTTAACACATGCTGTGACAGTGTTAGAATAACACAATGGGGCAATTGAGTCACAGCAAAGGAAAAAAAAAACTAAGCCACTTTATTTAAAAAACTAAATCTATTTATGTGTATGTTGTCATTCCCACCATGCCGCCTGCTGACTGTTAACTCCACCCTGGGGAAAAAGCAAATCCCTAAATGCATAAAAGCATATGCTGGTCCTCATTCACACACTCGAGCTGAAAACAAAAAATTAATTTCAAGACAATTCGACTGGTTCCATTTTTTTTTACTGTTACCTTGAAACCAAGCAAAAATAACGAATCACTTCACATGATACTGAGCTTGACAGGTTCTCCACTAACCAGGTAGACTCCGATGCCGGCTCCTATGAGGTATCCCACGTAGACGTCTATCGGGTGGCTGCGGTGCTGAGTTATCTGCGTCAGGCCAGCGAGGCCCGCCGCCATGCAGAAAGCAAACACCAGCAGCGGCTTCAGCAGCTTGGTCGTGCTGTTGATGCTGGCATTGAAATACATCTGCAGAGAGAGATAAAAGATGTGACTTAGGAAAGGACCGACGGTTTAGACACATGGGGAGTGGGGCGATGGTTTTACTGAGAGTCAGATGAGAATATTGATACACGCACTCATATGTGTTCATTTAAAATGAAGCTGCAGTAAAAATAATTTGCCTTTAAGCTCAACAGTTTACATGTGGTGGCTTAATTGTTTAATCTGCACAAAAACTGAAACAGAAAGATGTGGTCTGAGAAGGCAGAAATATTACTGGTACTCTAAAAAAGTTCACAGTTTAACAGTTTTTACTGTAATTTTTCTTTCTTTTTTTTACTGTAATTTTACAGATTTTCTGTGGTTACAAAAGTACAAATTTGTAAACGTAAAAACTTCAAAAATCACATGTAACCAATGAGTAGTATTTAAAAAATATTTCAAAAATAAAGAAAAAATAAATCCATTCTTTTATAACATTTGGCCATATTTTTAAATCAGCAGACGTATAATTTTCTACAGATATTTGCTGTTTTTTTTTTTTTTTTTTTTAAGGAAATTGCTTTTTTTTTAATAGTAATATATATTTTTTTGCTGTTGTTTTAATGATTTTCCTTGATTTTATTTCTTTACAGATATTAACTAGTAAATTCAAAATTGGAAACAATGTCGACAACAAATATCTATATTTTTAAAAACCGTCATTTGTTGTTTTTTTAAAATGCATTTGACCGTAAAATTACATTGTTTTCTACCGAAATTGAATTAGCAAAAAATTACACTCATTTTTATACAGATATTTGCTGTTATTTGAAAGAAAAAAAATCTGTATATTAGGATTAAAATTATTTTTTAAACCGTTACTTTCTGGATTTTCATAGTTTTGTTAAATTGCAGATAATAACTCGTGATATCACAGAAAGCATGCATTTACATGTTAATCTGAAAAAAAGGCCAAAACTGTAAATAAGCTCCACATCAAAAATCTGCATTTTTACAAATGCTGATTCATTCTTTTACAGCATTAGACTGTAAAATCACACTTTTTATTTATTTATTTTTTAAAAAAAACTATATTTAAATCACAGAAAAAAACATTACAGATATTTTCCATTATTTTAAGAACATTTTTATCTTTTTTTTTTCTAATGTAAAATGTATTTCACCATTTTTTAACATATTTTTTTCTGGCACACTTGCTGCCAGATTTTCACAGTTTGTTTCGGCCAAGATACGATGAGCTGCTTAATTTTAGCTTTAGAGGTGCCGGTTGCAGATTTTTGTTATTTTTGAATACTCTCTGATTCCAGCCTTTATGTTACGCAACTTTGCTTAATTGAAGAATTCTTTGCGAGTATGGAACATCTTGAAAAAGTTAAACGGTCCTTTTATAAAACATGTAATCTTGTTATGTAAGATTTTTACATATAAATGCCGGCTGGCTCAGTCTGCACATGGAGTTAACAACTGACAGTAGAACAAAGTTGATGAGTGTGCAGGAGAGGCACAGAAAGGGGAAGAATATACATTTACAGTCTCTGTACATTCACAGTCTCTGCATGCCGCCACATTTCCATTACATAAAGTAGGAGACAGCTGAGTGACAGAATAGCCGGCTTTGCAAAAACATCCTTTTTAACAAGCTTGTCCATCTAGTACAGAGCATAAAAAAAACCTCTGCTATTCTTAAAGCAAGAGGGAAAAGCTGTCAAAGTGGGGGAGATTTCACTTATATTCAATGCAGATTTTCTCAGCACTTCTTGAATAAAGCAGTCTGCTTGGTGAAGAGATCTTCCTTGTGTGCAATGTTTATATCGCTTTCTGCAGGAAGAGACTGAATGTAACAAATAAATAAAGAAACGATGTGGTGGGCAGCGACGAACGGGGCTGTAAAGAAAATTACCTGACATCAGTGAGCAGATTAGACAACATGTTGTAACTCAAGCAACTCAAACAGCTGCTTCCCGCCGCCTCCTCTGCTTTTTTCTCATCAGAAATCTGTCTGGTGAGCTTTAATGAGCACACACTGGACTCAGTGAGGCAGCAGTGATATGGCCAGTAGCTTACAATAGCCACTGGTGAAGGACTGTGTGTGTGTGTGTGTGTGTGTGTGTGTGTGTAGGAGGGTGTTACCTCATGGAAAAATGACAGCGCTACTTCGCTGTACAGTTCACATATTGCTGCAGTCAGCGCTGGATTACAGAAAAGCTGACCAATATGCATTATAAGAAAAAAAAAAAAGAAGAAAATCTGACCTCAAAGGACGGTTTTCGGTTCTTTTTTTAAATATGATTTAGACGTCTCTTTGGCCCGAGGATAGTTTGCAATCCGTAAATCTCTCAGTGAGTAAACAGTGAAACACAATTGTGACTTATGTGAAGTGACAGTGATTTGATTCCGGCAAGAAATCCTCTGATACGAGGGAGCGAGTTTAATGATGCCGGCAGCGATGTGCGTTAAGAAGCAGAGCTATCATGAACGCAGATAAAGAAACTCGTGGCGGTTTATGAAAGAAAAAGTCCAAAGATGAAGACGTGTAGTGCAAAAATACTGGAGGAATATTAGGATTTTGCAAAAAATACAAAAACGCAACAGGGTTAATTAGTTATCATTATAGGATTAATATGAATTAACTGTACATAACGAGACAACACACACATGCACATACATCATATCAAAGTCACACCAACACAGGCGGCGAGTAAAGGCAAAGGAAGTGCTTACAGAGATATATACAGCAGCGAAGCCAGAGAGCGTTGCATGCTGGGATGGAAATGTTTTCCTAAGGGGGAGAGAAAAGGGGGAGAGTTAGGTGTGAAGCAAAAGAACAAAAGACGAAAGAAAGAGATCGCTGTTTTCATTAGAATAGAAATAAAAAACCTGCTGTGTGCGTTGTGAGTGCCCCTTGAATACACCTGAATAAAACTGTCACGCCTGCTCTTGTTAAACGTGATGTCGGGATTGTATTTGACATTAAAACCTGTGTGGCTGCCCGACTGAGTGTTTGTCAAAGTGAGCGCGGCGTGCCCTTGGATGTGAGCATTAATAAACACAAACAGAATACCATGGGGGCATTAGTGGGAACATTAGAGAGGAGTGAATGAGTCGAGGTCACAGCCGCTAATTTAGAGTTTATGGAACTGAAAGACAAATCTCATTTAATTTCCCTCATTAAGGCGGCCTTTCTGTGAGACTGTGTGTTTATCCTTGTCTTGTCTGTGTAATGGTTAGGTAAATGTTCTGGCCTCTGTGAAGCCAAATTTGAGTTTAAGACCTTAAGCGTGAGCAGACTTTAGAAAGTCTTAGAGGTCTGTTTCAGTTCAAGACTTCATTTAATGCTTCACATTCAGATTAATCCTCTGAAACCGAAACGCATGTAATCTTCAGAAAGTTTCAAAAATGACACCATTTATCTTTCAGCAGTCTCACTCATCAGTGATGTGCCGTTCTGTCAGAAAACTGGACAAATCTAAGCTTAAAATCAGATTTATTCAAAATCAGTTTGTTCTACA